TACTGTCTGCTGGGTGCTGATGCAGTCAATCTGGCCATATATGCTGTGTACCACCCTAGAGAACTGCTGGACTGGCATGAGGGCATACAGGTGACCAATCAAAATGTTTGCCTTCTGCATGATTCATTAAACGAGTAGTTCACCCAAAAATGAATATTTGTTGAAAATGTGCACTCGGGCCATCCAAGACGTAGATGCAGTTTGTTTCTTCATGGGAAAAGATTTGGAGAAATTTGCATTACTTCACTTGCTCAGCAATGGATGCACTGCAGTGAATGGGTGCCGTCAGAATGATAGTCCAAACAGCTGATAAAATCATCACAATAACCCACACCACTCCAGTCCATCAATCAACATCTTGTGAACCAAACAGCTGTGTATTGTAAGAAACAAATCCATCATTAACACATTTAAACTTTATCGGTGCTGGCTCAAATATGTGTCTGTAACCCATAATAACGATGCTTCCTCCAGTGAAAAAGTCCATCCCCTGTTGTCCTCTTTACATCAAAATCCACCAACACATTTGTTTAGAACTGTTCTGGACTGTTTTCACTTGTAAACAGTGCTTGATCTGTGCATATTTCTCTCTCAATTCAGATGAGGCGACTTTTTCACCAGAGAAAGCAATAATGTGGATAGAGGTCTCATATTTTATTTGGAAGCAATGGTTTAACATTAAAAACCCCTTAATGATGGATTTGTTTCTAACAAATACACAGCCTTTAACTTCACAAGATGTTTAATGATGCACTGGAGTCGTGTGGATTATTGTGATGTTCTTATCAACTGTTTGGACTCTCATTCTGACGGCACCCATTCACTGCAGAGGATCCATTGCTGAGCAACTGATGTAATGCTACATTTCTCCAAATCTGTTGCAATGAAGAAACAAACTCAACTACATCTTGGATGGACTGAGGCTGAGTAAACTTTCAGCAAATTTGTGTTTCTCATTCTTCATTTCGTTTCACGCCTCTCTCACGCTCCGTTTTTATTTTTTCTGAGCAGATGACTCTGTTCTTTGTGGCCGTGATCATGGCCGGTCTGAACGCGCAGTGGTTTTGTCCATCTGCCACAGAGTGCATGCTGGTCATGCAGGAGATCGAGAAGGAACACGGTCTGGGGAATCAGGTGGGTATGAGCTCCAATAAAGAAGGATACGCCAAACTCCGTGAACAGGACCCAAAATACAAGGAGCACAGGACCACCTTCTACCGCTACCATGGTCTGTCCAACCTCTGCAACCTTATAGGCTTTTTCTCCACTACCATCAATCTCATTTACCTGGCCCTCCATTTGAGAACTATATGAGTGTGTTGTGCGTTTATGAGAAAGAGTCCAGTCAGTGTATGTTCTCTTTTCCTGTCGGAATGTTTTGTATAACAATAATGCTCCTAGTTTTTATACAACAAGAGTTTTTATTGTTCTTTAAGGTTAAAATAACCAAATTCAGAACCGTTGAAGTGAGCCAAAAGTGAAAAGTTGATTTTGTATTCACACTGTCCATAAAAGTGGACTCGGATCTCGATTTAGTCCGTTTTATTTGTGACCGGGTTTCAGTCCATTTCAGCCCAATTTGTCCATGACTTTCCTTTGAAATCTTTCTATATAAGGAGTAATTCTTGTGAATCGCTCTCAGACAATGTATAAAACGCATATTTTTATGTCTGGAGTTTATGTAAACATATTTCCAGCCATATTAAATGATATTATTATGGATGTTAACAGTATTTCTCCCTACTTTAAAATGCTTCAAAGTGGGTAATTGCATTGAATCTTTTGTTTATAATAAACAGACTGTCTGTTTAAATATGCATTAGTGATAATATAGCTGTTTGATTGTTTAAACAATGTGTTCTAATTTGTTGAAGTATAATTCTTATCTGCTTTTGCCTTAATGCTTCACAATGTGTACATATATTTTCCCACTAGAGGGCTGTTTGTGGAAAGGCTTATGGAAATGAGAGGACCAATTTTAGAATGCCCAATCATAAAATGCTGTTTACATTTCCTATAGAATGAATGACACTAAAATGGCAATTAAACTCTATGGAAAAGCAATGAATAGTAACTGAACTTTTGATCATCTTTGTAAACATGATGTTTGAACAGCAAAGTAAACTTCCTTTTATTACTGGACATGGAGGATGGTGCTGTTGAAGATTGAGTGACATACAAATGCATATTCAAGCCTTTGCTATGAAGATCTGTTGTCACCTTTTTTCCCTTTTAATTATAAGAATGCAAACGTTATTTGTGTGTGTTTGTGTCCATTGCAAACGGACAGTTTTTTTTATTGACCATGAACAAGCATTTATTCAGTTAAAGAAATATCAAACACCGATGTATGTTGAGTTTCAATAAAAAAATAAATACAGTTTACTCTTAAGTACACTGTAAAAAATGACCATGAATTTAACAGTAAAAGACTGTAAAAATGCTACAGTAAAACCTGTTAAATGGTTAACGGTAAATTCCCCTACTATATACGGTGAAAAACTGTATTGGACATTACATGTATTGGACATAAATTTTACGGTAGTATACCGTTTTTGGAAGTGAAAAAGACCGTATAGTTTACAGTGAATAACCGACATTCCCAGAATTCCCTGTGTTACATTTCAAATTTGATGTTGTTTTGTTGAAATAACTATGTTTCTTCTTAGTTTTTTCTTATCAGTTTTGTATATTAGGGTTGAGTGTTACACCTAATGTTGTTAAATGAATGTTTATTGCATTATTTCAGTTTCATGTGTGTTACCATGATGGTGTTTAGTGTTTGTGTGAATGACACTGTGCATCTTCTATATTTGTTATTATCTAAAAGCTGCTTGTGATGGGCATTGGTTCATCATGTGACTTTCTCATCACCACCTGAATTTGGTGGTTATCAGTGTATTACAAAAGTACAAAACAGATTTCAGTACTTCAGTAGGTTGGTATATTAACATTATATCAAATTAAATTACGGTATTTAACCTAAAAAAAAAAAAAAAAAAACGTTTTATGCGTTTTCGCAATTTTTTTAAACACCAACAAAGTTTTGGGGGCCTGAAAACGTAAACTTTTGAAAAACGGGTTTCAAAAGTTTTGAAAATGATACTGTTATCGTCTCAGTATTAACTGAGACATCGCCAACTACTGGTCTGGCATGCATAATACAGCGTTTTAAGGCGTTTTCTTGGATCCATGTGAACGAAAATCATTTTGACGTATTATTCACAATTGTTCTTAAATTCTTAAAAGCTTCTTGCATAACTGAAGGTGGTGGCATATGAAGTTAATGTTTTAGTAGGTCTATGTAGTTGGTGTGAAATATTAAGCTCTGATTCTATGCAGATTAAAGTAATGGAGGGGAAGGAAAGGGGTTCCATACAATCCATAGCAATATTGATTGTGTCTCTAATGGGACAAGTGGGAATGGATTTGGTGTTCTTACTAATGGACAGAGAGCTGTGCTGAGTGCCATTTGGTATAAAACCATTAAATTGAGCAGTAAAATGAATGGCGAGCATAGATCTGCCATGTAAGGTCTGTTTTATGGGGTTGATTTAGGGTTTCATCCAGACACGCATTTGAACTGGAGAAATTATTATAAACGAAACAGCAAAGTAGTTTGGGAGATTTGGGCCAGCTGTGTAATCTGGCTTGTCTTGTTATTGAAGATCATGCAATAAAATCCACTTTCATTGACATCTTTGGCTTTGGTTTTAGTGTTAGAAGGCCTCATGCAGTCAGTGCACATGCTCAACATGTGACAAGATTTTATAGGGAGCTTAAGATTTTACTCAATTTTAATGTTTCATTTGAACAATAAGGCAGTAACAGCAAGTGAAAACATTGTTTAATTGAAAAGTTGTTTATACGTGCATATAATTGTATGAAAGTAAAAGAGAAGATTCTGTTGTGTTTTTTGCCATTGTTTGCCAAATTAGGCTACTTTAAGGGATAGTTCACAAGAAATATCCAGAATGTTATTGGTTTTGTTATATGGACTACATTTATGATGCTCTTATGCTCACCAAGGCTGCAGTTATTTCATGAAAAATGCAGTAAAATCAGTAATATTGTGAAATATTATTACAATTTTTTAAATAACTGTTTTCCATTTGAATATATATTAAAAATGTAATTTATTCCTGTGAAGTAAAGCTGAATTTTCAGCATCATTACTCTAGTCATTGTCACATGATTTTTCAGAAATCATTCTAATATGATGATTTGCTGCTCAAGAAACAATTATCATTATTATCAATGATGAAAATAGTTGTGCTGCTTAATATTTTTCCAGAAACTGATACGTTTCCTAAAGATCCTTTCTTAGAAATTTAAAAAAGAACAGCAGATATTTGAAATAGATATTTATTATAAATGTCTTTATTGTCACTTTCAATCAGTTTAATGCATTCTTGCTGAATAAAAGTATTAAAATAAGAAACTATGAGTAAACATTTAACTTTTAACACATTCTGGGCTTGTTTTAATTAGAGCAATTTTTCTCTTAAAATAGGAAGATGTTTCATAACCTCTTAAGTGTTTCTTGTTGTCTTGCCCAATGATTTTGCAACCTTACCCTACACTGTAAACCTGACCGTTAGGATTAACCACCAGTTACAAGCTTCTCCAAGCAGTGAGCACATGATCATCAGAACCAGAGTGTCTCTCCATGTGCCACTTACACAGGTCCTTCAGCCCCTCCAACTCTCCAACTTACTGTTCTAAATTATATTGCCATTGAGTTCAAAAAGATACTACCTATCAAGAGCTCTCGTGTGCTCGAGACAATAGCTGCTGTGGGCAGTCACTCTCTTTGTAGTAACATCTCCACCTCTGGAGAGGAGTGGTGTTTGGAGCGCTCCTCTCGCCTTTTAATGGGTCTGCGTTTCGTGGGCCTGTCGCCATGGAGACCCTCTCCATCAGGCCCGTGAGGGTCTGATTGATCAGCTGGACGGTGGAGGGGTTTTGTTTCCATGCCTGTTAGTTTGAGCTCTTCTGTCGGTGGATATGGCCGGTTCTGAAGGTTGTGCTCCGAGGGTAATCAGAGATGTGTTTTCAGACCAGAACATGTAATGTCAACATGAAGCGGCGTTCGCAAACCTATTTTACTTCTGTAATGTGACGTATTTCAGAGTGAAACAGGATATTTGATGAGAAAACAATGTTTTATGGGACTGTTTTTTTTACGTGTGTTAAGAAAAGGCCAGTTTTGTTTATATGTTGACTTTAAATGAGAAGCCAAAGACATTTGGAGGTAGTTCAGTAAAATTTCATATAGTTTTATGCATGTAAGTGTATCTAAATAAAAATTTTAGGACATAAAATAAGCAGAATTGGTTTGGTTTTTCAATCTTACCAAGTGGCTTTTGTCTTGATTTTGAAATGAAACGTGAAATACTCGTTTTCTCTGTTTCAGATGGCATCAGTGAACGACTCGCGGCTCTCAGAGTGAAACAGGATATTTGATGAGAAAACAATGTTTTATGGGACTGTTTTTTTAACGTGTGTTAAGAAAAGGCCAGTTTTGTTTATATGTTGACTTTAAATGAGAAGCCAAAGATATTTGGAGGTAGTTCAGTAAAATTTCATATAGTTTTATGCATGTAAGTGTATCTAAATAAAAATTTTAGGACATAAAATAAGCAGAATTGGTTTGGTTTTTCAATCTTACCAAGTGGCTTTTGTCTTGATTTTGAAATGAAACGTGAAATACTCGTTTTCTCTGTTTCAGATGGCATCAGTGAACGACTCGCGGCTCAAGCCGTCACAGAAAGACGCGGCTGACCAAAACTTCGACTACATGTTCAAACTTCTCATCATCGGCAACAGCAGCGTCGGTAAAACCAGCTTCCTGTTTCGCTACGCGGACGATACCTTCACTTCAGCCTTCGTCAGCACGGTGGGAATCGACTTTAAGGTCAAAACCGTTTTTCGCAACAACAAGAGGATCAAACTGCAGATTTGGGTGAGTTTGATTGTCACCTGATCAGTCTGATGTCTTAAACTAATATCTATTTTTAAACTATTTTAATGCAATCTAATCTCATCTATTCAAGTATTTTATTAATTATGTTTGAATAATAACACTACCATTCAAAAGTTTTGGGCCAGCAAGTTTAATATGTTTTTAAGTCTCTTATGGTCATCAAGTCTTCATTTGTTCGACACAGTAAAAACAAAGTTACAGTAAAAACAGTAATATTTTGAAATGTTATTACAATTTAAAATAACTGTTTTCTATTTGAATATATTATAAAATGTAGTTTATGCCTGTGATCAAAGCTGAATTTTCAGCATCATTACTCCAGTCTTCAGTGTCACAGGATCCTTCAGAAATCACTCTAATATGTTGATTTTCTGCTCAAGAAACATTTCTGATTATTATCAGTGTTTAAAACAGTTGTGCTGCTTAATAGTTTAGAATATTTATTTTCAGGAGTCTTTGATGAGTAGAGAGTTCAAAAGAACCATATTGATTTAAAACTTTAAATCAATTAAAAAAATCAATCAATTAAATTTTGATTTAAAAAGTTTTCTCATAATATTAAAATGATTTTTTTTATTTAAAGGGGTCATATGATGCTGCTAAAAAGAACATTATTTTGTGTATTTGGTGAAATGAAATGTGTTTATGCGGTTTAAAGTTAAAAAAACACATTATTTTCCACATACTGTACATTATTGTTTCTCCTCTATGCCCCGCCTTTCTGAAAAGCGTCTGAAGTAGCTTTAGTTTAGGTCTTAATGTGTGCTGTGGCTCTGATCCAGTAACAGAAAGGCTTGTGCTTCTGATAAAAGCTCCTCCTAGCCGCACTGAACCTCTGCATCTGTCAGCCTTTGACTGTCTGTTCAACCTTGAGTTTGAAAGAGTTCTGCAGATGCATTGGGACGATTCTGTTCGATGAAAAGGTTGCAGTGCATTTTTGCATTTTCAGCTCACTCTAATAAAATAAATGTCTCTTATGCATAATTTAGAAATGGAAATAGGCTAGTGGTTGAAGAGCCTTTAGAGGTTTGGGTTCAGATCCTAAAAGGGGATATTATAGCGATAAAGTGGAGCATGATTCATGCTTATGATGCATAAAGCATACAGTTTTTTTTGCCGCTCTGTATTCTGAAAAGTCTCCGTTTTTTTTTTGTCCATCTGCCTGTAGTCTGGAGCTCATCTCTGCTGTCTGTCACTCTTGCCAGGCATTAGTGGATCGTGTGTAAACCTGTGCGAGCCACTGGTTGCCCAGGAAACACGTTCTCTCCTCCCTCTCTGATGATGGGATGGCTCTTCATACAAATAAGTTTAGCCAATAGCAGGTTTCTAAGCGACGGCACATAGTTGCTGTGCCAAACCAGACCAATAGTCCATAGACCTCTTCGATGATTTTTAATTCATTCTTTTTTTTATTTTATTTTTTGTAAATTTGTGTTTGTTTGTTTCTTTTTTTATGTCTGCATATATGTAGATAGATAAATGATAGAAGCAAAAAGTATGATCAGTATCCAAAAGTAAAGATCAACTCAATCAAATGTTTGTAATTTTAAAATATAAATACTTGCTGCATATTTAGTATTATTTTTTGTATAAACATTCATATATAAAAATATTTTACGCGTATTTATTTTTTTTACATAAAGATATATAAATATACTAAATAATGTGAATAAATGATAATAAATATAAAATAAATTTTAACTATAGCATTTAAGATTAAAAATGATTTATATTAAAATATACATTAATATAAGTATATTTTAATACATTTGACTTAACACGTTAAATATGTACATTTATGATAAAACATTAATATATACAGTATATATATATATGTGTGTGTGTGTGTGTGTGTGTTTTACATTATAATATACATACTATATGCATATATATAACATTTTAATATATATTACTTCATATATAACCCTTATATGTTTTAAATATCTGAAGATTTGTGTCAAAAGGATGATCATTATATAACCCTGGCTCTTCAGAATTGAACACCAGAAAAATATAGTAGTGTTTCTTGGGAAAAACACAACGGCAACTCTGCCATCTACTTGTCATCATTGGTAAAAACACCATGAAGACTGTTTATCACAACATCAGCCTCACAAGCCTGGATGTTGTGTTCCCGCATATAATTAGGATTATTGTAATGATTATGTTATTCAGGACACAGCCGGACAGGAGCGCTACAGAACCATCACTACAGCGTATTACAGAGGAGCCATGGGCTTCCTGCTAATGTACGACATCACAAACCAGGACTCATTCAACGCCGTTCAGGACTGGTGAGTGAAACACACACACACACACACGCATGCATCTGTTAGTTATGTGTGTATTAAGAGTGTTTAATGTTTACGTCCTGCATGTTTGGCTCTTAGGGCCACTCAGATAAAGACATACTCGTGGGATAATGCACAGGTGATACTGGTGGGCAACAAGTGTGACCTGGAAGATGACAGACTCGTTCCGGCAGAGGACAGTCAGAGACTGGCTCAGGAACTCGGTGAGAGGATGCACAGTAGCCAGTTTTATTTGCTTGTTTTAATGACCTGGAGAGGAAAAAAAAAAAGTCAGATGACTCAATCTCATTATGAACACTGGTCTCAATGTGCACTAACTGCCATGCCTCTGTCCATTACAATCTCTAAATCTAATATCTATATCTGTTTAAATTTTATTTTATTTATTTATTTCCCCACACCTTAATAATCTCTTTAAATATTCTATAAGTAAAATATATTATTTATTAATTAATAATTTATAAATAAAGTTAAATATATTACATATGTAAATAAAATATGTAACTTTGTATGTAAAATTGTATGTAAATGAGTTTTGAAAGTTAAATATATTATACATGGATCTTTATATATATCATGATATACATCATTTATTCCACAGTTTTCTTATACACATTTTTAATTATTTTTTTAGTAAAATTCTATATATATATATATATATATATATATACTGTGTGTGTGTGTGTATATATATATATATTATTAAGTTTAGTTAAATAATTAAGTTAAACTAAATTAAATTGAGAAATTTGTCTAGGCAACTAGCTGAGATAATTTTTAGTAAATTTTTTTATTTTTAACATTTATCTTATTTCAAGTAACAGACAAGTTTTTTTATTGGTAATAATTTTAGTTTCAGTTAACTATAATAACCCTGGCATACAGACAGTTCTGCTCTTTTTCTGGTTTCCTCAGGTTTCCAGTTTTTCGAGGCCAGCGCCAAAGACAACATCAACGTGAAGCAGGTTTTTGAGTGTCTGGTGGACGTGATATGTGAGAAGATGAATGAAAGTATGGACGGAGACGGTCCAGTGTCCAAACACAAAGACTCCAGTCCGCAAGACACGTCCTCTGAGGGACACAGCGGCTGTGCCTGCTAAAACACACTCTCTCCATCTTCATCACACAGAGAACTCCTCACCTATTCACTGCTATTTGGGATAATCTTTGCTTTCCTTCTTTTAGCCCAAACAGCATCTGCTAAACATGCTCAGTGTTGTTTGTTGACGTGGATGGTCGAGATAGGATGGCGTGGATTGAAATCTGACCGTGCCTGCGATCTACGTGACGCCCTGTACATATTCACACTAAGACGCAAACAGCTGGAGATACTGCACAGCGTTTAAAGGTCCATCCGCACCTGTTGCTCACACTCTCACCCTGTTGTCTTTCCCTCAAAAAAGCCACGTTTGGATGGATCTTTGTGGTTTTAGCACACGTTCACTTTCTCATCGCATACTGTAACGTCCACAGCCCTGAGCAGCTTCTGTATTGTCCATCTGCTTTAAATGACAGTCCTAACAGCTCATTCGGCACTATTATGGAGATAAATACACTGTGCTATTCTGATATGTGCAATCATGGGCTGTGGTTTAAAACTTATGTGCATCACTCACTGAGAAATATCCACTCAAATCAATGTTTTACTGCTATTTTTTGGTATAAGCGTTTTCTTAAATTATAAGATAGCAAATAAACTGCTACCCAAAATTACCTGTATGCTGTCACAATAATTTATAATATATTTTTCTGGAAAGTACTTAAAGGGTCACTTTATTCGAAAATGAAAATCTGGCCATCCAAGATGTAGATGTAGTGTTTGTTTCTTCATCAGAACAGATTTGGACAGATGTATCATAGAAAAAGTAAAAAAAAGAGGGTCTCTGATTATAAATCATTTATCCTTTGCACAATGTTTGTTTCTTCACTGAGGTTGTGTTGTTATTAAAAACAAAACTCCTTTACTCCAACTATGCAATTGTGAAAAAGACAATTGCAGTTCAATTAAACCTTAAATATTCAAACTAAACCATGCTTAAAATTAAAACATATTTTAGGACCATTAAGATTTTTTTTTAGCATTGTGACATTATTTCTATGACGAGCATGTTTTACCCCAAAATTCTTCTTATAATGTGTTGGAACGTTTTATCAGGTTCCCATTAATTGTTTACTGTATTGTGTGTGTGTGTGTGTGCGTGTGCGTGTGCGTGTGCGTGTGTGTGTATATATATATATATATATATACCCAGGTGCATCTCAAAAAATTAGAATATCGTAAAAAAGTTTTTTTTTATTTTGTAACTTATTTCAAAAAGTGAAACTTTCAAATATTCTAGATTCATTACATGTAAAGTAAAACATTTCAAAAGTTTTTTGTTTTAATTTTGATGATTACAGCTTACAGCTCATGAAAGTCAAAAATCCATATATATATATATATCTGAATAGTTTTAAGCCATTTTTATTTCAATTTTAGTTATATTAGTACTCTAAATAATTTAATTGAAACTAAATTAAAATGAGAAATGTTTCTTTGCAACTACTTGAAATGAACATTTATATTTTATTTCAGTTTGTTTTGTACAAATACAATTTTAAAGGGGGGAAAGTATTTAATGATCCTAAAAATAGGCCCCATTTAATTTCTTATGAACATGCTCTTTCACCCATATGCTGTACGGTTCATTCAGCAGCAGTACAGTGGACACAACAGAAAGGAGTGTTGGCCATGTAAAATTTAGTTTATCTGCTTTTTGTTTCTATTTCAGAATCATTAAAAGGCACTAATTGAGTGCTGTTCATTCAAGGCTGATGGAACTAAAACAAATGGCATAATATAAATAGATTTCTTGTATTTTAAAGAAAATGTTTGCTTACCTTTTTCATAACTAAGCAGGTTATGAATGGTTTTGTCATTGTAAAAATAGTTGCTGCAGTTAGCTATCACAAAGTGTAGCCTTAAAATAACTTTCCCAGACTTGTTGATGCAAGTTGTCACTTTATACAACATCACATTTCCAGTTGACTAAACCTCAAATTTTAAGGCAGCACAAACACTTTGTTGTTTTTACAGTGCATGCATTTACACATTTATGCATCAAAAGTGACTTACAATACATTCAATGCATACTTATAAGTTCTTCAATTCCCTTAGAGTCATATCTATGACCGTGGCATTGCATGCTTTTAATTTTTAAGCTCCATGAATGCGTTTTAGCATTGTGTGGTTGCTAGGGTGTTTACTAGGGCGTTGCTGGGTGGTTGTTAGGTGGTTGTCTGCTGGTGATTAATATTCTGGTCTATATATATATATATATATATATATATATATATATATATATAGATAGATAGCTCGGATATCTCCTACACTCTTAAAAATAAAAGTTCTTTATTGGCATTGATGGTGCTTTGAAGAACCATAACATTCATCCTGTAAATCTTTTAAGTAAATCTTATAAATCTGATCACTTAGAAAAGTAGCATCTTTGAAGTTTACCACATTTGCAAAGTGTTTTCTAGGGAGGGACCTAAGGTAAAAACTTGTTGGCAGTTGTGTTCCAGTGCCTAAAAAAAGGTACCTCTAAAAAAGGCTCTCTTTGTGTGAGTCGATAGCATCTGTAATTTATGACTTTATACCCATATCTCTGCCAACCTCTCTGCTTTTATGTGTGTTCCCAGAAAACTACGACAAAGTTGCTTCCTGAATTTCATTTTCCTGTTACACACCACTGACCCACATCCTCCAGAGCTAGAGGAAATACATGCACCGTTGACCTGAGTGTCACCTGCTTTTTTCAAACAGTATCTAAAATTGCTTTTAATAAGACAACGCAAAATCTCATATCTAAACTGTAAAAAGAAACAAACAAAAAAAAAATGCAAGAGCAGATGAATAATAAACCTGATCTGTCAGCTCCATATGCCAAATATAGTATGTGTGTTTCTGGAAAATTTGGCAATAATTCCGTAGCAGAGATGCCCATCACATTATGCAATACAACATACACCCATTGTCAGTATGTAAATGTCAACAAGTGCAGCTCAGAGAGGAGTATGCCACATCGTAGGAACCACCTGTTGTATGGAAGGCTGATGGGGCCAAAAGACTTTTAGCAGGGTGTGAAATTTGACCATGTCAACACACACTGAATGTCTGTTCATGCGAAAATGCACACAGCAGCCAATTAAATTGCTATATTTAAAACTATATTTGCATGTTGTGACGTCGTTTGTAGGTCGGGAAGAAGGAGGCGGGAACCGGCAAACATTTAAACAAACTTTACCCATCCGATAACCCAATGGTGGGTTACTATAGCACCTACCTAATGTTGGGTTATTTTAACCCAATGGATTGGGTAATAAGTTAGTAACCCAATGCATTGGGTTATTTGGCCAAAATGTTGCTTTAGCCATCCTGGTATTGTTATTATTATTAGTAGTAGTAGTAGTAGTATTGCTATGTAAATAAATAATAATATACAGCATACAAATATTTTGAAAACACTTAATTCTATTACATTTAAAGTTGCAAAAACTTCTATTAAATTAAATAAATGGTTGAAATTGTCTTATTAATTACTTTCTTATCACATTAGGTTACTTGCAAGATAAATATAAATTCAATAAACAAACAGAACAAAGCTAGTACAGACAATGTAATTACAGCTAAAACAGGCTTGGGATACTCAATGTTCAAAATGTAAAATAATCTAAACCATGTATCATCTGCTTGTAAAAAGATGGTCTTGCTTCAGTGCCAATTCTCCCACAATAATGAAGGATGTATTTTATCCCAAAACTGCAGGACATGAGGGTATCACCTTTGTTGCTCCTCCTCCTCCTCCAAATACAGAAGGAAATTTGTTCCAACCTTTAAACAGAAATTTCAAATGGTAAATATGCATACATAGCATCAAATAATACCCAAAAATTTATTGTTATAAATTATGCACTTGCCCACTTTGTATGGCAATGAAGGAGGATGTCAGGGTTTTAATGCAGCTTTTATGCAATCTCCAAAGACCATCTTAAATAGAAAGAACAATGGATTAATCACCAAACAAGAATGGAGGAAAAAATCCACAAAAAATCCAAACAATTTGATTATCCGAGTGTTACAAGAGTGGTGTTTGTATCATTATAGACAGCTGTGGGGATTTTTTTAACTCTTTCTGCATATTACATAGTTATGAAATAGTTATGAAATAGTTATACTATGTTAGACATAGTTATGAAAAAATGACCGTGAATTTAACGGTAAAAGACAAAAAATGCTACAGTAAAAAGCTGTTAAATGGTTAACGGTAAATTCCCTTACTATATACGGTGAAAAACTGAATTGGACATTACAGGTAATTTTACGGTAGTATACCGTTTTTGGAAGTGAAAAAGACTGTATAATTTACTTTTACTTACTTTACTTTTACTTTTAGTCATTTAGCAGACGCTTTTATCCAAAGCGACTTACAAATAAGAAAATGTAATTAAAACTAAAAGCTAAAACTCTATAAATACTATATATATATACACATTTAAGAAAATAAAAGAAATTAAATAAAAATGACAAATGCATACAACAACATTTCAAAACTAAACATTTAAATGAAAAAAATAAAAAATAAAGCTAAAAACTATTCAAAATATTAAAAGAACAAAAGGTATGAGTATAATAATGATTCTAACATAACACTAAGCCAAACACCAAAAAACTACATATGTATATGTACAGCCACACACGTATACATATACATGTACATATATATAAATACATTCAATATATATATATATATATATATATATTATTTAATTTCCATTGTGTATGCTGAAGTACTGAAATAACTCAAATAAAACTAAAACTTAATAAAAAACCTATATAGAAAAAAACGAATAAAATGACAACATTACTACAACTGTAACTAAAACTAAAATAGATAACTAATACAAATCAAACTACATTAGTTTATCAGTAATCCTAAAAAAAATAACACTGAGCTAAACACATGCTAAAATAACAACTTACTTGACACATAGTAAGAAATGGTTATAAAAAACTGAAACAGAAGTGAAACAAGTAGTAGGAAAGAGGAGAAATAAAAAGCGATACTTATCCTTTGCCGGTGTCCCTGCCCGGTGGAGTCACACGGTAGAGTCGATGGTCTTTACACTCTTCGGTCTTTACACGACCGCTTCCGCGGTAAACTAAGCTTTTTTTTAAAATTCGTTTAACAAAACTCAAATTGAATTCAGCTGGACACACTTACCTGTTTATCACAACAAATGGCCAAGCAAAGCGCACAACACTGACAAGGTACACGATACAGTATGAGACCAAACGCGATTTCAGCACGTCAGTGAATAACCATAAATTGACATTCCCAGAATTCCCTGCATTACATTTGAAATTTGATGTTTTTTTGTTGAAATAACTATGTTTCTTCTTAATTTTTTCTCATCAGTTTTGTATATTAGGGTTGCAAGTTAAACCTAATGTTGTTAAATTAATGTTTATTGCATTATTTCAGTTTCATGTGTCATCATGATGGTGTTTAGTGTTTGTGTGAATGACGCTGTGCACCTTCTATATATGTTATTATTTAAAAGCTGCTTGTGATGGGCATTGGTTCATCATGTGACTTTCTCATCACCACCTGAATTTGGTGGTTATCAGTGTATTACAAAAGTACAAAACAGATTTCAGTA